GCTTTTATTGGTGGTTAGAGGGGAGGGCCCAAACCTAATGGGAAGAGATTGGCTCAGGGCAGTGAGACTAGACTGGACAGCCATGTTCAAATTCCAAGTAGGACAGCAGCAAGAGTTAGAGGCCCTGCTGTCACAACACCAGGAGGTGTTTAAGGGTGAATTAGGCACACTAGTGGGGGCTACAGCTAAAATCTATCTAGACCCAGAGGACCTGCCTCGTTACTTTAAGGCTAGGCCCTTGCCCTATGTGCTCAGAGAAAAAGTTTAAACTGAACTGACCAGGCTGCAGAATTTATGGATCTTAGAGCCTGTTAGTTTTACTGAGTGGGCAGCCCCAATAGTCCCCATAGTCAAACCACACAAAAGCATAAGGATATGTGGTGATTATAAAGTAGTAAGTTTAAATTAGTAAGTGAATCCAGTGTCAAAGCTGGATAACTACCCAGTTCCAAAGACAGAAGACTTGCTGGCTGGAGTACACAAGTTCACCAAGCTGGATATGTCTCAGGCTTACCAGCATCTACCACTGGAGGAAAACTCACAACTATAAATACACATCGTGGACTGAATCAGTACCTTAGGCTGCCCTATGAGGTCTCCTCAGCCCCAGGCATTTTTCAGCGCACCACAGACAGTTTACTACAGGGGCTTCCTCAGGCAGTGCTGCGAGTAGACAACATACGCGTGACGGGGAAAGACGATGCCATCCATCTGCAGAATTTAGGGACAGTTTATTCTTTATGGTACGCCAGCATACAGAACATGGAGGCCAATCACTGCCCCCCAGACGTCCACAGTTATATTTTTTATATTTATATTTTTAAAAACAAAGCGGCGCGTGTATGATGTCATCAGTGCGCGCCGGCTACCGTTCATTCTTCCTGTCCGCTGAACTGCTGCTAGTTTCCCTCACATGCCTGGAAGATGTCCAGTGCTGCTACCTCAGATGATCTCGCTCTCCAGATGAACGATTCAGATGAGCTAGAATGAATAGAACTGGTAGAGCGTAGCCGCCTGTGGCCCGGGCTGCCTGGCACTACTACAGCAAATCCCTTCATGGATTTGCATTTTAAATTGGTTTGTAAACATTTGAATTGTTCTTAATTAGTTATTTGTTCACATCCTCCTTCAAGATAAACTTCTGTTCTCCAAAATAAAACAAACTCTCATCTCATCTCATCTCATCTCATCTCATCTCATCTCATCTCATCGATCATGGTTTTCCGGCATATTTTTCCTTCTTCTTTGTACATATTAGTTTAGATTGAGGTTTATTAGTTTAGTTAAAAATGTTTGATTTAAATATGATTTACTCAGGACTGAAATATTTTTGTTAATAAACTCTGATATTTTGAATGGAAGTTGTGGTTAATTTGTTCCATATATGTGCAGAATTATCTATTTGACTATGATTTAACTTTCATTATGACAATCTGAAAACGATTTGATAAGGCAACATTTCTGCCACCCCTAAGAGGCGGACAGCAAATATCACAACATTATT